TCCCACCCACAGCGGTAGACAAATTGCCCCCAGGACAGACCCGAGACACTCCCCGCGTTTTGCCTAATGACCCATCGGAATGCTCACCGAGGCATTTCCCTGGCCGGCTGCTTTCGGTGTCTCCGCGGCGACGGCGGACGGGTGCCATCCGCTAGCTCGGTGTGCACACCCCGGTCACCTCTCCAACTCCCCGCCAGCTGAAGACCATCCGCGCTCGGCGCAGCCCCCGCGTCCCGTGTCTCTCCCCGGACCGGCTCATCGGGTCCCCAGCATGGCTTCCTGCCCCCTCACAACCCCCCCCCCCCCGCCAGAACGGCTCCTCTAACCCCTCCCGGCACAGCTCGTCTGCCCCCTATCCCCCTCCTCGGCATGGCTCCTCTATCCCCCTTCCCAGCACCGCTCCTCTATACCCATTCTCAGCACGGCTCCTCCATACCCATTCTCAGCACGGCTCCTCTATAACCCATCTCAGTACGGCTCCTCTATCCCCCTCCTCCGTACAGTTCCTCTATCCCCCTCCACGGCACGGCTCCTCTATAACCATCCTCCGCACGGCTCCTCTATAACCATCCTCCGCACGGCTCCTCTATTCCCCTCCTCGGCACGGCTCCTCTATCCCCCTTCTCAGCACGGCTCCTCTATCCCTCTTCTCGATATGGCTCCTCTATACCCCTCCTCGGCATGGCTCCTCCATACCCCTCCTTAGCACGACTCCTCTGGCCCGTCCTCAGCACGGCTCCTCTAACCCCTCCTCGGCACGGCTCCTCTGGCCCGTGCTTGGCGCGGCGCGAGCCGGAGCCCCGTCGCCGCATTCCGGAGCGCGTGTTTTGCGCCGGCGCCCGCGTGTCTCGGTGAGCTGGGCCGACGGGCCGGGGTGCGGCTCGGCCGCCAGCGAACAAGAGACGCGCCCGGACGGCGCCAGACCCCGGTCACGTGACACACGCCGGAAGTGACGTCAGCCCCAGTGACGGCGGGCGGCGGGTCAGCCGACCCCCTGGGGCCGCCCAGGGCGGGCCACGCACGGCTCCGGTGGCCGGCGTACAGCTCAGGACCTGCTGGAGCTGGAGGTCCTCGGCGCCGCACTGCCGGTGCCAGTGGTGCTGGAGCAAAGCGCGGGCTGGCAACGCCCCATGAACGCGCCAAAAATGTCTGCCTGTAGTAATGTATTGAGATCTGGTAACAGGGCGTTACCCGCCACATCACGGGTGACTTCCAACACAGGCTTTTGTGTCCCACGCTTCTTGGTCCCATCTTACGTGGCGCCCAACCAGAAAAGCTCAGCACCACGACCCAATGAAGACATGATGAACGGTATGAAGATCAGGCGCGTGCCGTCCGACTCGTTCTGGCAACCAACACGCATTCGAATTGGGGCACTATCTTATGCTTCACATCTCCCATCACATCTGGACTTACGCTTGGTGGGTTTGGCACATGCTGACTGAGCGTGGCAAGTGCAACTGATTGGTCAGAGCTTCTGAGATCCACCTCCATTGAAAGCATTGCCAGCCCCCAATACAGCCTGAATGCAGAACCAGTGCTCACGGACGCAACTCATCCGAGTAGTGCCGCCAAAGGAGCAGCACGGCGGACGACCTCTCCAATGCTGAAAAAGCAGCGATAATCTCTCTGTTGCTGAAAAATAGCGGCAGCTGCGCAATCAAGACTCCTCCGTAAACACAGCGCGCTAGCAGCGCATTACCGAGATCACTTGCTTTTAATAATAATCTGTGCATGTAAAATTAACGTCTGTTGTCTTTAGAAGCTAAAACGTTCGAATTGTTGATAAAAGAACGCATTATTGGGGCCGGGAATGAATGGCCCAAAACTGCTTCCAAGGTGACATATACCTATGCACGGGCTGATATCTACCCTGGACACCACGACCTAGGAGACAGCCGCCCTGAGCCACGTGTGTGTCATTGGGGCTTTACGACGCACTCAGCTGCTGAGGCTATATGGCGTCGCCTGCCTCTCACCCTGGCAGGAGGGGCGGGCACCGCGGGGAATCGAACCCCGCCCTGAGCCACGGAGCTGGTTATTCCCCCAACAATCAGCGATGGCGTCGCATCTTGGCCCGGTCAACCGAAGCCGTAACAAGGCGCAGCTGTTCACTGCATGTGTGATGGTGACGGGGAGACAACCTCCGGGGCGGATGCCACGCAGACCCGGCACCGAGATTCGGGCCGACTGCAGAAGCCGACTGTGAAGTACGCAGAGCACAGAACAGCCCCACGCGACGTCCGCTGGAGTGGTGCGGTGGCCTCAGCACAAACGGAACAGTCGCAGGTACAACAGGCCGAGTCCTTCGCAGGGTGGTTATGGAATCTGCTGCGAAGCCTCTTACCCAGGCAGCAAAATACCACAATCACGTTCAACCGACAATTCTTGCCAAAAGACGTCACGTGCTGGCGGCCGGCTGAGCCGCGGGGTCGCCGGCCGCCCCGCCGCTCCGTCTGTTGGCCGCCGGCGGGCTGACGTCGGCCGCTGGACGCTGCCGGGCAGCCAGGCACCACCGCCGCCCTCGCTCAGCCCATCAACACGTCATCGGCCGGCTCGTTTACACCCGGAGAGCCGAATTAGCCGGGCCAGGTGAGGTTTAGACGGCAGGGGTGGCGAGCGACGCCGCACAGGTGGACGGCCCTGACCGATCGCTGTATCTCTCTCTCTCTCTCTAACACGCATCATATAAGCAAGGAGGGAACTGTGTTTAATCTTGACATCGCCCTCGAGCGATTTGGCGCCAGCCTGTACAGCATAATACGTGGCGAGAAATCTGACCAGTGTTCCACCGCTGCATGACCACGGCACATCGCTGGGGTGGTCATTGCAGGCATTCTGGTCAGCCCGCTTCCAGCCTGCTGGCGCCGGCTACCGGGCCCCATGTTATCCTCCTCAGCCCAGCCCAGCCCAGCCCAGCCCAGCCCAGCCCAGCCCAGCCCAGCCCAGCCCAGCCCAGCCCAGCCCAGCCCAGCCCAGCCCAGCCCAGCCCAGCCCAGCCCAGCCCAGCCCAGCCCAGCCCAGCAGGGGTGCTGGCCCGCAGACGTGTCCGAGTCCCGTCAGTACCGACGGCTGCCGGCACCGACTGCCGCTTCCGCCGCCGACGGACGCCATCAGCCATCCCTCGGCGGCGGCGCCAGCGGACCGGCCCTCACCCACCTGACGACGTCGTGGTGCCGGTCCTCTTCCAGCCGCGCACGGCAACGTCCAGGGCGGGGTACATGGGGTGCGGACACACGCCTACACTCACACCCACGCAACGGGTCAGCGGAGAACCGGACAGCGGGGACAGCTCGAGCCCACCGCCTTGCGCACACCCGTGCGACACGCATGACGCCGGCGCGTTCAGGCAGCGACGCCTACAGCACATCCATCCAGCTGAAGTCCACCGAAAGCGACCTGTCTAGCGAGCCGCCACCGGGGGCGGCAGCGGCGGCGACGGCGCCACCTACCTGTCTCCGGCTCCTCCTGGATGGCCGGCCGTCGCGGCAGCTCGCGCAGCACGCGCTCAAAGCTCTCGTCACGTCGACCGACGTCGTAAGCGGGCGCGCTCTGGCATTTCTCGAGGCGCGGCTTCTCGACAGCCCGCTCCGGCAGCGACGAGACGGAGGTACGCTGCTGGGGCGACTCGGGCGGCGGCTCCTCCTCCTGCTGCTGCTGCCGCGGTGCCAGCGGCGGTGGCGACGGCGGCGACGGTGGCGACGGCGGCGGCTCCTGCGGCGCGGCGGTCGGCGGCCGCAGCTGGAGCGCGCCGCCGCCGCCGCCGCCGCCGCCACCGCGCGCCTCGACGCTGCCGCGCGAGCCGATGCAGGTGAGGGGCCGGGCCGGCGGCGGCGGCGGCGCCACGTCATCGTCCGAGCCGGCCAGCGAGGGCGAGCGCGAGCGGAGCAGTGGCGAGCTGGCGCCGCTGCCCTGCCCGCTCCCGGCGCATCTCCTTCCAGAACTGCAACAGCGACGGGCCGCGTGCAGGCAGAGAGGGCGAAGGCCGGCCAGACGACGTCGTTCGTAGGCGAGGTACGGCTCAGGCGGGCCGGGGCACAGCCAACACAGAGGGGCGGCCCGGCGCCGGCGGCAGACGCTGGGACGCTCATGAGCCTCATGATGGGGGGGCCAGCGACACAACAAGCCAGGGAACTGGCGGAACCAGGCACGAACTAGGCCTAAATTTGTGCCGGGAAAAGGCAGCAAAAGGACATGACGCAACGGACGATAAGGATGACCGCCGCCGGCAACAGAGCAGGAAGAGGTCTCTGGTACACCACATATAAAATCGAAAGGGAACATCGAAAAGACACATATCACAAACAATGCACCAAATCTAGTACTTACCCTTAACAGATGCGAACGGCAAGTTCACTTACCGAGTCTTACCTCGCGCTATTAAGACATGAGCGCTACAGAATGATAAATATTGCCCTACCAGGACGTGATGAGGCCCCGCGAACACTGGTCGCCCACCAACCCGGTCATGTTGCCAGCGCCAGGGCAGGCCCCTCCCCTTGCGATAACCGGACACCACAGAGCCGCGCCTACCAACGCCTCCCCGCAGCCGCCGCCAACTAACGGCGCCAGTTCCGGCGGCGCCGCGGCCTGGCCGCGCCGGCCTCGCTCACGGCTGGAGCGCCGGACGTGTGCCGCGTTCCCGTCCGGACAGCGCTCCCTCGGCCGGCCGCGGCACGCGTCCAGGCACCGCACGGCTGCCCACGCCCTGGCCGCCGTGGCGTCCACGCCCACACCCCGAGGACGCCGAGGTTCGTCCACACCGGCCACGTGTCAGCCAACCGGGAACAGCAGCCAGGAGCGGAGGACGTGTGGCACACTACCGGAGCCAGCCTATCACCGCGACTCGTCGCTATTTTGTGTGCCCTGCCCCGGAGTCCCGGACGACTGGTACGGACGAGGGGTAAATGCGACGAGTGTAGCGGTCTGTGGTGGGGTCCGAACGGTGCTGACCGGCGTCCGCGGCGGGAGAGCGGACCTCGCAGGTCAGGCGACCAAACTCACATCTTCCAGTGCGCCTGCAGCCGACCCGTGTGGCCTCCTGTGACCTTTTGACCACTTGGCTATAGCAGCACGGGTCGGTGATTGCCGATATCGTGAGATTATCACTTGATTGTATCGCAACGCTTCATCGCAAAATATGGGATAATTTCCAACGTACCGCACGATCGTCACCCTCTCCAAGCCTTCCCAGTTCACCCGACCACTTGTGCCCTGCAGTCCTGCACCGACCTCCGACCACCGCTCTCCTTCCTTTCTCCCCCCCCCCCCCCCCCCCCCCCACCCACTGCGAGCCGGCGCAGTGTTCGTGCCGGGGTCGTGCGGAGCGACACCGGCGGCGGCGCAGGCCGTGCGACCTCGCTGCGACGCCCCACCTGCTCGATGCTGGCCGGCGGCCGGCGCGAGGTGGGGCTGGCGCCGGTGACGGTGGCGCGCCGCTGCAGCGTCGGCCGCGGCTTCGGCAGGTAGTGGCGCACGCTGGTGGGCGAGGCGGCGCCGGCGCCCGGCTCCGCCAGGAACGCGTCCGAGTCGGAGTCGCTCGACTGCTGCGGCGTCAGCTCGGTCACGCACACCTCCGGCGACGGCCTGAAACACAGGTCACGCCGGTCACGCACAGATGGCGCTGGCAGCGCGCGGTAGGGCACAAGAATATATGCCACGAGCGTCGAAAACGGCGGATGTGCGGCTCGCGGCAACAGCGTCCAGCCAGTAATATCCATGTGTCGAGTCAAACGCAGATGCGCGCCAGTCATGTGCAAGATGACGCTCCTGGAGACGGCTCCACATACCGGTTCGCGCGCAACAAAGGTATAGTGAAACATTGAGATGTACGAACATGTGTCTTTCCCGAATGCCAATGCCAAATCAACACACGTAACAGTCCGAAATCCCAATATTAGCCCACAGTTGTTTGAAGTTTTAATCTATGAAACCCCGCATCGTCTGCCACACAAATGCGTCGAATATGCAACTACATAAGACCTCGCCTAGGCGTGGTGGCCAGGTGCCTGTCAGGGTGTCAGCTGGGACGGCGAGCTCCCGGCCGAATCGGCACAGCCCCAGTCAGCGAGAGCCGTGCTCGGCCGCAGCTGCGGTGAGAGCCGTGCTCGGCCGCAGCTGCAGTGAGCAAGAGCCGTGCTCGGCCGCAGCTGTAGTGAGCGAGAGCCGTGCTCGGCCGCAGCTGCGGTGAGAGCCGTGCTCGGCCGCAGCTGTAGTGAGCAAGAGCCGTGCTCGGCCGCAGCTGCGGTGAGCGGGGGCCGTACTCGGCCGCGGCTAGGGTACTCACAGCCGGGGCGGCAGCGTGATCTTCGGCAGCGAGGCGAGCAGGTCGGGCCGGGGCGACGTGTTCCAGCGGTACGGCGTGCGCTTCTTATTGGGCAGCCGAAACGGCTTGAAGTACACCTGGTCGATGAGGTTGGAGTGTTTTGGCCGCTTCTTGACGGTGAGGTAGACCTCGGAGCCGAACTCCGTGTCCTGCAGCAGGTCGATCACCTTGCCCAGCTGCCAGCCCACCTGGCGAGAGAGGCGCGCGTCACGGCTGTGCAGCTGGTGCCCCGGCGCGTTGGGGTCCCTCGAGCACGGGCCCGACCTGAAGCCGGGTCCCACCTGCCCTCTATTTTTCCTTAAATGAAAGTGTTTGTTTGGAGACCGTTGGTGCACATTGCCTCCATCTCATTTGTTTTTAAACCATGGTAACGAATTGAATACACTGGCCTAGCAGCATTACACTCGCGTTTATGGTGCCCGGCCCGGCGCTGAAAACGAACGCTCCAGCCGCCCCACCAGCCCAGCAGTAGCCTGTCCACTGGTCCCCACCAGCCCAGCAGTAGCCTGTCTACTGGTCCCCACCAGCCCAGCAGTAGCCTGTCCACTGGTCCCCATCAGCCCAGCAGTAGCCTGTCCACCGGTCCCCGCCAGCCCAGCAGTAGCCTGTCCACCGGTCCCCACTAGCCCAGCAGCAGCCTGTCCACTGGTCCCCACCAGCCCAGCAGTAGCCTGTCCACTGGCCCCTGCCAGCCCAGCAGCAGCCTGTCCACTGGTCCCCACCAGCCCAGCAGCAGCCTGTCCACTGGTCCCCACCAGCCCAGCAGTAGCCTGTCTACTGGTACCCACCATCCCAGCAGTAGCCTGTCCACTGGTCCCCACCAGCTACATACCACCGTCTGGTAGTTGACCTGGACGATTTCGTCGCCTTCTTCTAGCTTGCCGCAGATGTAGGCCGGGGACTGGAACTTGACACCGGTGATGATGTGTACGCCCGAGATGGCGCGCACGATGTGCAGACCCTGCCGACGCAGCCGACACACGGCAGGTCAGTGGCACACTCCTGGGCTACCGCTGCCGACACAGCCGGCACAGCTGACACAGTGGACACAGCTGACAGCTGACACAGCCGACACACGACCGGTCAGCGGCGCGCTCCCGGGCCACCGCTGCCGACACAGCCGACACAGTCGACACAGTCGACACAGCCGACACAGTCGACACAGCCGGCATAGCCGACACAGCCGACACAGCCGACACACGACCGGCTAGCGGCGCACTCCCGGGCCACCGCCACCGACACGGACAGTCGAAATGGCCGACACAGCCGACACACAAGTGACACATGGCCGGTCAGCGGCACCTATGCATGCGCCGCGGTTTGCATGCCGTGTTGTGTCAGTCCCCCCATCAGTTCAAAAGAGTTTACATGTCCCATGTTGGCAGATAAGTACCGAATGTTCTGACAACACCCAACGCCTGGACCACATATGCACCCATATGACGTACGCCCGCCTAGCACTAGCACTTTGACTCCAAGTCCAGCCATCTTTATGCCCAGGCGCGCACGGCTAACGCGGACTCAGACTCGGAGCGGGTGAGACTTGCGGGGAGGGGGCCGAGGGGGAGGGGGAAGTGCACGGCGGACGCACCATCGCGCCATTTCCGGGGCGCGGAGAGCGAGCTGAACAGCACATTGTGCGATCAGTTGCGCGCCGACGCGGTCGACACGAGCGGCAGTGTTGATCCTCAAACGGGTCCTGTGACAGTCCAGTTCGGGGGACGGGGGGGGGGGAATGAACATCCACTGGAAGACAACTGGAAAAGTTATATATCTACTGAAAAGCAGCCCACCAAGGCTCTCGTAATGAGCTTCACATAAAACCACCGTTACTCAATCCTTGCTCTGCGCGTGTGCAATCTACGTGCTCTGCACAATCTATGCGCAAGCGCAAAGATTGCGAGACAGCAAGTACGGCGTTCCGCAGCCACGTCGGCAGACGTCCGGCCGCCACTCACCAGCGGCTCGTCCGGCTTGCGCTTGATGGTCATGATGAGCAGAGGGGCGGGCAGCAGCGTCAGCGAGTCGGCGCAGTCCTGCGGCAGCGCCACGGCGCGTCACGGTCGCGCTCACGCCTGCACACACACACGCACGCACGCACGCACGCACGCACGCATATGCACTTGTCTGCCGTATGTCACACCGCAGCCTGTAATCACAGGCTGTTGGTGCAGGCTACTGATGCATAGCCGCAACACACCGTTGCCCAACGGCTGCGTGCGGCACTCGTGCCACTTCCGGCTGAAAGAGCTCAATCCGTTTTTGATGACGAGGTGACGCGATACCATGACAGCTATGGCCTCCCGACCTTGAGACTACAACCTAGTGCCGGCACCGCTAATCCTCCGTTACGCATGAGCCCGATGGTATGGAGCAAGCTGGCCGAGGACAGCAACAGCGCCGCGACACTGGTAAGCGTGATCCGCCCCCGCGCACCGGCTGGCGTCGTCAGACTCCCAGACTGCAGCCGACTCGCCGGCCGCCGGAGCAGCCCGTCAGACTCCCAGACTGCAGCCGACTCGCGGGTCGCCGGAAGAGCTCCTCAGGCTTCCAAACTGCAGCTGACCAGCCGGCGGCCGGAGCAGCCCGTCAGTCTTCCAGACTGCAGTCGACTAGCCGGCAGCCGGAGCAGCCCGTCAGACTCCCAGACTGCAGCCGACTCGCCAGCCACAAGACCAGCCGGTCAGTCTTCCAGACTGCAGCCGACTAGCCGGCAGCCGGAGCAGCCCGTCAGACTCCCAGACTGCAGCCGGCTCGCCGGCCGCAAGACCAGTCCGTCACTCTCCCAGACTGTAGCCAACTCGCCGGCCGTCGGAGCAGGCCGTCAGACTTCCAGACTGCAGCCGACTAACCGGCCGTAACAGCAGCCCGTCAGTGGACCTGTGACGTCACACAGTGCGTGTGACGTCACGCACTGTTAGTGTGACGCCTCGTGACATGCGCTGTGCGCTCGTCACGATGCGTCCATGCCCAGCTACGCCAGGCTCCGGAGAAGCGCTCACTATGTCGTAGCCTCAGGGCTGGGCGGACCGGAACACCTGCACGCAGCCGCAGGCCCCGCCGCCCCATAGTTCGGTAAACACCGCGCCTCGCTCCGACCACCGCCACGCAGTCAGTACCCATCCAAGCCGGAGTCGCACCAGCCCGGCCCCGTCAGCCCGCTCACAGTGCAGGGCGGCGGGTGTGAAGACCCAGCCGGCGGCCGGGGACCCAGTCATCCCCTCTCGCCCGTCGGATCTCAGAGGACGCTGACCAGGCCCGCCGGCGCACCCGTACGACCCAGTCCCCCCGGCGCTGGCCGCCAGAGGGCGCCGCGCTCAACGACGCACCTGCATGGCCCAGTCTCCCGGGGCTGGCCGCCGGAGGGCACCGCGCTCAACAACGCACCTGTATGGCCCAGTCCCCCCCCCCCCCCCGAGGTGTTGGCCATCAGAAGCCCCCCCCCCCTCCCCCCCCAGCGCGCACCTGTATCACCGAGTCGCAGACGTCCGCCAGCTGTTTGGACGCGGCCATGATGCCGTCCACGGGCCGCACGGCGAAGCTGTCCCGCTGGGCGTTGATCACGAGCTTGATGCTGGGCTCGAGGATGCGTGACTTGATCTCGGTGAACACGTCCTGGCCGTCGAACGGCGCCCTGCCGGCCCCAGCACAGAGCTGCCAGTGCCAGCCGACGCCCGGTGTCGTCCCGTTGGCGGCACACACAGTCCGGCGGCCGGGGCGCTACCGCCGGTTAGCCGAGCGTGGTCACCAGTGAGAAGCGCGTGCCTCGCGCCACGTCAGGGGGCTTCGGTAAGGGGTAGGCGTGATCTGCCGCTGGAGGTCGTCGAACGCCACAGGCACAGGCAGTGGTGCGCTGGGTTACACATGCGAGCTGCCGGCGGCGTGGCAGGCTCAGCCACAATACACGGGGCGTGACGAAAAGCGAGGCCCTGCAATACACGCACTCGCATACCTGTACCTCGGCACGAAAAAGCCGCATCACAAAACAAACCACCTACATATTGCACATCATTGTTCCAACTTGCAACTTAAATAATGCCTTTTGCATTTTCACAAATCAATGGCTAAAAAGACTGTAGTCAGTCACCAGCATATCTGCTTATCGCTCAAAATCCCCCCTCCCCCCCCCCCCTCCAATCCCAACCGGGGTGATCGGGTCAATCAGGTGACGGTGTTTTTAAATCGTAAGGTGTAAGCTTGTGTCGTAACAGGTCCGTTTTACTTCAGGTTCTGGCATCGGAGTCATTGACGAATTCAAAGGTTTGATTAGATTCCAATACGTGCATCCAAACCTACGCAAATCAAAAAGGCGCAATTCATCTTCATAAAACAGGTCTCAGGAAGGCTCCACTAGCACCGCTCAGGTGGAAAGGTCCCCACCCAGCGACAACGCAAGCCCGAGGAGACCAGATCAACACCAGCAGCCCGCCGCTGGTTCGGCGCCGCCCGCGTGGGCGCCGCGCAGGCCCTGCACTGACGTGTTGAGCCAGGAGATGATGTCCTTGACGGAGGTCATGGCGTCGGTGACGGCCTCCAGGATGGGCACGGTGACGCGCTGCAGGGCGCCGCCGGCCGAGACCGGCTCGTGGCACAGCTGGCTGTGCAGGCTGCGCGTCTTGCTGCACAGCCGCATGGCCAGCTGCTGCAGGTTCTCCGAGTTGAGCGTGAAGTGCTGCCGGCGACAAGGGCGGGGCGGGTCAGCACGGGCACAGTTAGCGCAGCACAGTCAGCGCAGCACAGTCAGCACAGCACAGCCAGCACAGCACAAGTCAGCAAAGCAAAGTCAGCACAGCATATTCAACACAGCCACAGGCAGCACAGCATATTCACCACAGGCACAGGCAGCACAGCACAGTCAGCACAGCATATTCAACACAGGCACAGGCAGCACAGTACAGTCAGTACAACACAGTCAGCACAGCACAGTCAGCACAGCACAGTCAGCTTAGCACAGTCTGCACAGCACCAGTCAGCACAGACACAGTCAGAACAGGCACCTGCACACAGGTAGCCTCTCATGACACTGAGCAGATGGGTCACTCTGCTATTACCATGGTAAACACCCCCATTGGCGATTTATTTCCGCAGGTCACAAATAACTGTACCAATATGATGTAAAATGACGTTAAAAGCACTCCCAAGGGCCTGTTTGTTCTGCTAATGTACTACGTGGCATCGGGTGGACACCGAAAATCGCGCATCAGATTAACACTGGGTGTGTGATTCCAAAAGCCCGTTATTTTCATGGAGGCCACCAAGACTAGTCGCCGCACCAACCGCACCTGCCCTGCTGGACTCGCTGGCAATGTCAGAGACAGTGTGATAGCGACAGCATGTCGCTATCACACTGTCACACTGAGACTGACAGTGTGATAGCAGCAGTGTGACAGCAAGAGTACATCAGTGACAGTATGTCAGTGAAAAACAGCATGCCAGTGAGTGACAGTGTGTCGGTGACAGCGTGCTCGTAGCAGCGTGTCAGTGGCAGCGTGTCAGTGGCAGCGTGTCAGTGGCAGCGTGTCAATGACGACAGTGACAGACACAGCATATCAGTCAGTGTGTCATTGACAGCATGTCAGAGACATGTCAAAGACAGCATGACAGAGACAGTACGTCAGTGACAGCATGTCAGTGACAGCGTGTCAATGACGGCGTGTGTTAGTGGCGTGCCGTCGGCAGCCGGGGGAGGGGGGGGGGGGGGAGGCTGACCAGCGTCTGCAGGCGAGCGATGGCAGCCAGGATGATCTCCTGGTGGCCGACGCGACTGATGCTGAGCTCGCGCAGGTCACCGGCGCGCAGCTGCAGTAGCCGCGAGCCGCTGATCTCGGCCGCCTGCAGGTGCCGCGCGTACTGCTGCATCGCTTCGTGGTCCGACAGACCTGACAGAGGTGGATACTGGTCAGAGGGGCGGAGGGGCAGAGGGTTAGAGGGGCAGGGGGTCAGAGGGTTAGAGGGTTAGATGGGCAAGGAGTCAGAGGGGCAGAAATCAGGGGAGAAGAAGGTTAGAGGGGCAGGGGGTCAGAGGGTCAGAGGGTTAGATGTTGTTAAGAGGGGTAGGGGGTCAAAGGGGCAGAAGGTTAGAGGGGCAGGGGGTCAGAGGGTCTGGAGGTTAGAGAGTTAGAGGGGCAGGGGTCAGAGGGGCAGAAGGTTAGAGGGGCAGGGGTTCAAAGGGTCAGATGGTTAAATGTTTAGAGGGACAGGGGGTCAGGGGGCAGAAGGTTAGAGGGGTAGGGGGCAGAGGGTCAGGGGGTTAAATGTTTAGAGGGACAGGGGGTCAGAGGGATGGAAAGTCAGAGGGGCAGGGGGGCAGGGGGTCAGAGGGTCAGAGGCTTAGATGTTTAGATGGGCAGCAAGCCAGAGGGGCTTGGGTCAGAGGGCACAGAGGAGCAGAGGGACAGATGATTAGAAGGGCAGGGTGTCAGAGGGTTAGATGATTAGATGGGCAGGGGGTCAGAGGGGCGGGAGATGAGGTGGTCAAAGGGTTAGATGGTTAGAGGGGCAGGGGGTCAGAAGAGCAAGAGGTGAAGTGGTCAGATGGTCAGAGGGTAAGATGGTTAGAGTTTTGGAGGGCCCGAGAGCCAGAAGGTTCTTGCGATTGGTATGAATTTGTATGTCATCAAAAATTGGGCCCATTATGCCAGATTAAAGGTGAAATTTTCCGGAGAATTACAACTTTTCGTAGTCACAACATCACACATACGAAACCATAACTCCTAGCCACAGCAAACCCAAACAAGTGCGCTCGTTAAATTCTGAGTACAATTGGGCATATTTATATGTGTTTTGGGCATATGTTTATGATATATGGCTGTGTCGATGTAATAATGTTGGTCCGCCGCGCGCGCTCCGCGGCCGTATCCTCAGTTGTCGCCCACCGCCATGTCGGCCATAGATCGCCGTGCAGTGTTTCTCAAAAACCGCCGCTGCCCCGAAACCACAAAAGCCAGGAAAGACCTTTTTGGTGTCAAAACATGCACAATGGATGGCTCTATAGGCTGCTGAGGATATGGGCCCAATCACATAACATGCTGGAGAGGTATCCTAAAAAACCTTAGGGGTCGCAACGACTCTCCTCTATATCAGTGTGAGGGTTAAATGGCATGTCATCCCTCACACTGTAATGCACAACAACATTTTATACCGATTGCACATTAAGTATGTACATCCTTCTGCATAAAATAGCTAAGGTATTATTGAGTGAATCTAGAATGCTAGTTGCATACACTATAAAATTCTGATGCCATCATCCAACCATGAAATTCTGGGTCAACACCAGGACTTCGCGGAAAAACTTAGCATGCTGTTTCAGTGCATGCAATACTACAGGCCTCAGGTTGTCTCAGCCTGGGATAAAAAGTGAACACTTAGAAAAATGTAAAGGCACCTGACTCCAGGATCTGAATCCATGCACTCTGACTGACTGAGCAAACAGTGCTGATGAGCATGTGGCCTACATATGTTCTTATAGAATAATGCTTTCATTTCAACTCACCTTTAATCCATTCTGCCACCTGGTCATTGCTCCAGGAAGCAACATTTACATATGCCATGGCACGTGTTGAAAACAGACACCTGAAAATACATCCAGAAGTAACAGCACACTTCGACAAAAATATTATAATGATAACTGTACATTACAGAGCTACCTGGCAAAGGTTTTTACACCATACAGCACCTACAGCATTATTACAGGGTATCTTTACCACAGAGGCATCTTGATCACTTACACAGAGAGATGTTTTAAAGAGTGTCTATGGACAACTTTCATAAATAAGCTCTCAGCTTGGTAGGCATACCATAAATACACTTGCCAGTTCCTGGGGACTTTTAACAATGTATTGTAGAGTGTGTCACAGCCAAGACACTTGAGACAGTCACACTACATAAACAAGATCTCTAGAAAAAAGGTATTGTCATCCTTCAGGATAGGGGGGGGGGGGGTGAGGAGCACCATCACTAGGTGATCCATAATTGTATATTTGCCTAGCTGTCATGCACACCAAAAGATGGTATATGTCAAGGTTGATCTTGTGTGTGTTTCCCCCCCCCCCCCCCCCAATTAGACCAATTTTTTAAAGACATCTTTTGGTAATGCCAATGGGGCCATAGGATTATGTGCCTCCAATGCAATTTTCTGATTATGTTAGCCATGCAATTTCACTCTTTTTGTGAGCATGTGATGAAATACCCTTTGCAAGATATTCTCACAAATATTGCTCATTTTTAGCAGGAAATTTGAAGGTGACAGCCATTTCAAGTCAATTTGTCTGTGGGAATGTATCTCCTAGCTTTTATGCTCTTATCCAATGGTTTCTTTGGATGCCAGAGTTTGACAAATAAATGTTAGTTGAAGCAACAATGTCATTGAATAGCATTAAATCTGAGAGCTCAGAGTTTCATGCATATTACCATGTCAGCGCTAAATGCCAATATTTCAAGCATTTATAATACTTCAAATTTCATTTCTGGCAAAAATCCTACAACACATTTGTCAAATAACCTTAATTTGAATACCACAGACATGTATGTATCCAGCAGAGTGGTTGGGTTTTTTGGAATGGTATGTGATATAAGAAATGGGGAGCAGGAATTGCTGACCAATGATTAGTAATTGCTACAGAATATTGATACATCATGGATTTAACCTTATTGTGGGCTGACCTCTGAAGTAAAATCTTCATGTCTTACCATTTGGAAAAGCACCAGGTAAAAGACCCAGATGGCAGTGTCTGATCCAACAGTTTGTTTCCTAGAAACTCACTGGCATTGCTGTCTCACCCAGTGGCTATTTATGAACAGAAATAGCAAAACTAAAAAGCACTCACCAGAATGTTGCAGCTCACGCGGGAGGAAACCAGACGATTTTGCGCTGCGCTGCGGAATCTGCACCGATGTGCCACACCCCGCATAAATTATGCAGGTGAGCACGTACCGGGGCCCCTTACAACGCAGTTAGACGGCTGAAATGTTGACTGAGCACGCGATTTCGAAACCAGCCGAACGTAACAGTGTCACATGGGTTTACATGTCTCTTCACACCCCGTGGTTCCCCGGTAGCAACCGCCCGTTAATCCACCTATACTAGTTATGCTGCACAACACACCCACACACTTTTCATCCGGCTCACAGACGTCCGTGACATTTGTGGCGGGTCAATAACGAAACCGGTCTGTGCAGGTGCTGAAACACTGGCATCTGTGTTACGGTAGCGATATTCCACATTTGAAGACATTGAGGCAAAAAAGGTTATCGTGAAATAAACCCACTTTTAACTCTCGGCTTACCTTTGAGGGTAAGAGGCTGCTCTAGACGACAAAACTTCATTGTTTAGTAAATATGTTTCTTATACGTCATCGTTTCTTTACGTTATGGAATGTCCTCATGACATGTCGTTGCCAAACTGGCCGTGCAAGAACTGCCATTGTAGCGGATGGCCTGACTCACTTGACATGTTTGAAATTGCCGACATGAGGCGGTGTTTTCTGGAACGTGTTTGCTGAAGCAGAGCATCGCTATACCTTACCTTACCTTATGGTGATAGGGAATTATAAAAGGCCACTAGGCCTGTAGGTCCCGGTCTCGACAGGCAACTGGTCTGGTAACCAAACAGTCTCAAATCATGAGAAGATTCAGTGTGGGAGTCGTACATGATGTCAGCCCAGTGCATATCAAGCCTAGACTTGAACTGTTCAACTGACGTTGACGACACGACCGGGTGTGGAAGAGCGTTGCAGTCGTTGACAACCCGCGTGTTGAACGAGTTACGACGAACGAGAGTCCTAGCTCGAGGTTTTCTGGGCTTCCATTGGTGTTATCTCGTCACCTCCGAGTTGTGCCTTGTCAGGAACTCCTCTTCCGACAGCGACATGCCTCCGTGAAACAGCTGGTACACTGTTACCATGCCTCCCCTACAACGACGATCGTACAGCGAGGGTAACTGAAGGAGTCTGAGCCTCTCAGGGTATGGCTGGCGCCTCACTTCATAAACAACCCGGGTAGCTCGTCGCTGAACCCGTTCCAGCCGCTCCTGGTCCAGTTCGCCGAACGGGGCTCAGATGACGTTGCCACACTCTAAGTACGGACGTACTAAGATCTTAAAGGGCAATGGCAACCTGCGAGCATCGATGTTGCCAAAAGACCGCCTCACGGCCGCAAGCATCTGGTTGGCCTTGGAGATCGCTTCCGCCGTCTGCACGTGGAACTGGAGCCGGTAATCCACGAAGATCTCGGGGTCCTTCTCGGTGGACTCGACCGCGATTTCGGCATTGTCCAAGAAGTAGGTCAGCCTGGAGTTGCAGTTCCCGATGTGCATTATTTTGCACTTTGCTGCACTAAAGGAGAGCAGCCACTCCTCTGACCACTTGGCCAGGTCATCCGCAAACATCTTGACCACGCTTCGCACTTGTTCTGGCAGATCGTTCACGAAAATTATGAACAGCGGTGACCCAAGTACTGATCCCGGGATGCCGCTGATGACGTTGGCCCAGTCCGACTTCGGGCCCTGGACCCGCACTCTCTGCATCCGGTGGGTAAGAAAAACCCTGATCCAGCGTAGCAAATTACCTCTCACAGCGCAAGCATGAAGCTTGGAGAGCAGACGGTTATGAGGCACGGAATCAAAGGCTTTGCCGAAGTCCAGGTACGCCACGTCCACCGGCTCTCCATCGTCTATCGCGGCGCTCCAATCCTCCATGACCTTTAACAGCTGGGTAATACAGGACCGCTTTGGGAGAAACCCATGTCGGGCTGCATGAAGAAGTCCAGACTCCGATAACTGATTAAGTAGGGCATCACGGACGAAAGTTTCGAGCATTTTGGAAGCAATTGCAGTGAGGCTCACAGGGCGGTAGCTCGCTGGGGATTGTTGGTTATCCTTCTTGAAGGTCGGGACTACCTCGCCAAGCTTCCACATTAGGGGAGCCTTCCGGATGCCGAAGATTTTCGGAAAAGCATGCTCCCGTTATGCGCTGTTGTTTTAACCCTTTCCCGTGGTGTTCTTGCATATTCATCCATACTGGAGTCGTTTCCATTATTTTGTAAGGGTCAGCCCTCTCCCCCCCCCCCCCATCCACCCTCACCCTCACTCCCATTGCTGGTTTGACCCCGCTCCCAATATTTTTGGTTTTAACATTACAAAAGCGTCGGAAAAGTTTGCCATCAGATGAACACTATCTTCTTTGATCCCCTCTTCGTAGCAACGTCGCCATGGAGGGTGCAGCTGAGTTACTTGACCATGCAGCCTCAAAATGATTTCCTTAAGAGAGGGGGAACCTGAAGCATTGGAGGCAAACTATTTTATATTCGGCCGTTTTTTTATTTTGTTTTGTTTTTTCGTCGAATCTCAGCCGAGACGGTTTTGCTCCCCATTACCCCAACGTGATATTGACGCTACTGATTCTTAGGTCTCGTAGAAACTCTTATGCCAAGCGGCAGTTGATTCTCTTCTATGGTGGTCTGCCTCCACCAGGTGGGCTATGACCCTAATGTTGTTTTACTTGAAGGTATGATTCCATGCTGAGCATGACGTATCGCGTACACTCTGGACGCACTATCCCGCTATTACAATGCATGTTCAACATCCACTTTGCCTCGGTCCCGAATCCGACCTAACGAAACGACCTTTACCGTGCCCGGTTACCATGCGACTGTCGGCCGCCTCGTAACCAGGCTGCCATTTTTAGGCCGACGTCCAAATGCCTCCTTTGACGAGTCCTATACGAACACGTATCCTGACAGGTTAGCGTACCACCACGCGTGTCGCCTCATCACGAATGTGGTCAGCGTAAGTTCAGCGTTCTACCAAAGTTGGGCTTCCGCCACGACGATTGGTGTGTTCGCACGGTAATACATTCAATGAAAATGAGAAGAAAAAAACGCAAATTTGGACAGGTTGCGTAATCTGGCATGCCTCGCGAGCCCCGTAATGTAACCAGATGTAACGCGAGCTCCGTAATGTAATTTGGTTGCATTTACGAGCCGATGATATAACAAGCCGAAATAACCTAATAATGTAACCAGATGTGTACCAGCCCTCATAAATACAAAACAGACTGTCGTCTTGTAGAGTAATGCAACGATCCACACCGGATCACCGCTGCCCTCGTAATGAACAGTCGTGTTTACCCCCACCTCCAGCTAAAATCGTAACCGCTGAGCGGATAAACAATGCAATAAATTTTGCACACCTTTGGCAATAAGACGCGCGAATGTTTGGGAAATTAAACTGAAAAGCCCCGGAATGCAAAAATGGTCTAAATCCTTTACGACTAGCCCCTTCTCCGAACCCCACTCCCAAAAATACATGCCGCTGCCAATGGTCGCCATAGGAGGGTGTTTTCCGAGCCTTACGGCGGCCTCTAGAGGGCACCTTTCTTTTCCGATCAGACGGAAACGTGCCTCCAGTGCACTGCCCAACCTTCAACCCCCGCCCCCCCCCCCCCCCGCTCCCTCTAGATCAGCCTCTGCATGACTATCATCCTGCTTAAATCAACGAAGATTTCTAAAGATAAGGAATGATGATAAAGATTGGCTCTTATCAAAAGTGGGCTAAATTCGTCGAGCAAAAAAAACTTTGTGGGAGGTCATTCGGACCTCCGCCTCAGGCTCTCCTCCCCATCAATTACAAAAACACTATCTGTCCGTGATTTAATGTTCTTTACTTGCGTTCATATGCTGGGTTGTGGCAATTGTTAGTTCTAACTTTATATATTGGGGGTAAACTTCTTCCTACCGGGTACTGGTGTGTACGTCTGGTATGAAGCGGTATCTCTCGACTGAGTCTACGCTCTTAGTAGCGGCGGCCGCTTACGCCTTCCCCCCCCCCCCCCCACACATACACTCACGCTATGTGCTTCAGCTGTGGCTGCCTCCTCTGCTGCGGCTGCCAGCATGACTTGCTATCCCCCCCCCCCCCCCCCCCAGCACTGCTTTTTGTGATGTGAACTGCCAGCATGCAACTCCTGTGACACTAATTCGGTTGATTACCAGCGCTTTTACTCTTCGCATTCGCCATGGTCGTTCCGTGATCTTTCGACATATTCCTTGATTGGTGCATGAATATTGATACGGTATTAGCATTTAAATGAAATGTTCCACATTTCAAGGCATAGAAGCGAGCATCCGATATGATGGAATAGGCTCACTTATATCTAATGGTTGGCTTTTAAGTAGAAGTGGCTACCCTAGGCAACAAACTTTATTGAGTAAACATTCTCCTCAATGCGGCACTGTTTGATTGCGTCACAGAACGTTTGCATGATAGCACTGACTAGAAGTTCTTCAATTTCCCGAGAGATGGTACACGGGCTGGGAGTGTTCGCTCAGCTAACTATGGTTGCGCGCCCGTGTTTTGACCCTTTCTTGTGGTGTTTTTGCATATTTATCCATGAGCTAAGGATGCTTTTTTTCTTAAGTTATCCGGCTTACATTTTTATTTCCAGTTTAAATGGAAAGAATGCATGACTTCTTGCATTTTGTAGCGCAAAGCGTACCTTGTGTTGGGGCGGTGTGCATGTGCGGCGGGTTAAAACTCAGCGGTTGACCTCCAAGCGCATGCAAGTCTGCCCCACCGTTAACCATCTTCCTTCATCCCATAAATTTGAAATGATAATTTCTGGTCGAAAGGGTTGTAATCCAAAAAAACAAAACGAAAAACATTGTATTGGGGCCTCTTGTTCTACACCCTGCTTCATCATGCATCCTCGCGACACCCCGCTCGCCCGGGGCGGGCTGCATGCGTCAGCCACGAGTGGGCCTCAGCCGAGCGCTCAGCGCGTACCCACAGAGGGGTCCCTGCGATAATGATCGGCGATTGGCTCTGCAGGGGCGTGTAGACCCGCTCCATCGCTACCGACCATTACCCACCCTCCTACATCCCATATCTCTGAAATGGTAATTACTGGTCAAAAGGGGTCTTATCCAAGTAACCGAACACGCTATTGTCTGGGAATCTTGCATAGCTTGCAAACAACACTGATTGAGGGCCAGCTGATGGCCGTTATGTCTGGTAATCCTCCCTACGATCGCCAGTTATGAACAGCTATATTTGCATTGGCTTTGAATGTCGCATAGCCAGTGAAATGGCAGAATTTAGATGACGTAATTGTGGCGTCATGGAT